CATACTTGCCTCCTTGCTCTTAGACTTTGACAATGTGCTGATTTTAATCAACAACATAATTGTTTTGTCTTATTATATATTACAAGATCCCCTTCCTATTAAAATGCAATTACTATTATTTAATCTTATTAGATGTTATAAGATTAATTAGATTTACATAATACTTTAATTAGATTTTTTAATGTAAAGCAAAGTTTTTGAACATCTAACTAACCTACGTATATTCCAATTCTTAAGTACAATATCTAACTAAATTTTCATCAATTATTTTACAAAATANCTTCTAACTATGCGATTCTACNGGGATCCATATATAAATCTCTTCATGACTATAAGCTAACTAAATATATATTTTCTAATTAAATAATAATATTTTTTTTGGTCAAATTAAATAATAACATAAAACTTCATAAATAATTGAATTAATTAATTTTTAAACAAATTCAAAATATTTGTCTCCAAGATTATCAAAGATTACAATTTGGAACTAATATTTTATCCAAAGAATATTCGTACTTTGGAACTAATCTTATTCAAGAGATACGATTAATTTTTTATTTCGCTTATGATAAATCGGCCTATTAATAACAAAAAAATCCTAATTTCACAACTACCATAATCTCCTAATTAAAAAATGTTTAAATTTGATTTGTTAAGATTTTCACCGTCGAATCCTAATTTTGCTAACTAATATATGTCTCTCTATAAGTACAAACAATAAATCCAAGAAACAATGTAGACGATTTTGTATAGTTTTTTTTTTGTCACGACGATTTTGTATAGTTTATCTTTCTTTTCGCATGATGTGTTTACTCTAACTTTAACGATTCTAATATTATTCATTGAATTTTTTCATTGTTAGGAGCTCGATATTATTACTTCCTGTAATCGAGAATTATTAGAGGAAGTTTTATCAAATTCAACTACATTCTCCCATTATTCAAGTAAGTACCAACACTCTGATATTTTCAATTTACTACTCCAAATTGAGTTGAAGTTTATGTTATCGTTTTGGTGTATATTCATTCTTGATCGGACCATACTTAATCCTAACAATTTTTTTGGCTAACATTTACCTTTTTAATTTTCCGAATGAATCACGTGTAGCCTCCACCGATCGATTGAAGATTTGTTGAGGTTACATCGTCACAAACTGTCATATTCGTTCTCGATCAAAACATTATTCTACTTTATGAATTCATGACATTTTGTTATTTAGTGTTTTTTTTTTTTACCGTGTAAGATGTAACTTTATGATATTATATCAGATTGCAGTTAAAGAATACATCATTTTGTAAAACTGTAAATGTCATCAAACTAACCAGGTCTTCGATTTTTTTTAAGTTAATGTTGCAACATTTGTATAGGTTCAACTTTGATTACAAAGAATGCCTTGGAATATCGTTTGCATTATATTCAATACTAATTGTTTGTTTGTATGTTTCAGTTGCTGATATAACTTTGCCAACAAGATCATTCAAATCAAGGATATATATGTACGTAAAAAATTTGTATCTTTGGTATATATGTTTTTCGAAAGTTTACTAATTGTTATCTTTTTTTTGTTTGAAATGGTATATGATGTCTCAATGATAAGTCAATATGTACAAATTATAAAAAAAGGTTAGCTTCTAATATTTTGCTCACAAAACC